GTGCACCCCCGGGTACACTTCAGGGAGTTGGGCCCTTCGTCTGGTGCAACGGAACACTTCTAGTCAGCCTAGTCCTTTTTACAATCTGTAGCAGTTTTACGTCACCTTTTAGCGCAGCTCATGTTTATCTTAGCTTCGTAGTTTTAAGCTTTATTTTTAATCAGGATTTATGTAGGTCATTCTTCATTGGAATGGTAGAGGCTTACGAAAGCAGTGCCCAGGATGTATACGCTGTGCTTAATCACCGTTGTCCAGCTGCTGTCTGCCTCCAGGAGACGAAGCTTGCGCCGGATTCTCGCATCACCATCAAAAGTTACTCAGTATTCAGAAAAGATGTGCCAGCAGACACTGTGGTGCACGGCGGTGTGCTGTTGGCAGTACACCACAGTGTGTCTGCGCAGCAGCTGAGGCTACAAACCTCGCTCCAAGCTGTTGCTGCGTGTGTACACTTAAATCAGTGTATTTGCCACCGGGGCTTAGTTTCCCATTAGTGGAGCTCAGGCAGTTGATGGCAGAGCTCCCTCCGCCTTTGGTTATCTTAGGATATTTTAACGCACACCACACCGTTTGGGGTTGTAATGACAGCAACGCGCGGGGACGCTCTTTAGAACAGCTTATTCACGAGGAGTCGCTCCGTGTTTTGAATACGGGATTTCGGACGCATTTTACGTTACCGTCAGGTCAGACGTCGGCTTTGGATCTAGGCCTGGTGAGCCCGCAGCTCGCGTAGCTTTTTACGTGGGCTGTAACCGACGACTCCATGGGAAGCGACCACTTCCCAGTGTGGTTGGAGTACTGTGACGGGACGGTCCTCCGCCCTCGACCATGACGGTAGAATCTTTAAAAAAAACAGACTGGAGTAAGTTTGAGCCTCAGCTAGAGATGGAATTTGGTGCACAGTACGTCGATGGTGCACACTACTCGATGGAAGACTTCACATCCGCGCTTTTACGTGCAGTGAACACAAGTATTCCAAAGACATCTGGAGCTCCTCGTCGCACCCCGGTGCCGTGGTGCACCGACACGTGCCGAGCTGTTATCCAGGCACGTAGGCGGGCCTTTCGGACCTTTGACCGTCACGCCACAACCGAGAATTCAATCGCATTTAGGAAGGCTAGAGCTTTGGCCCGGCGCACCATCCGGGAGGCGAAGCGAGTCTCCTGGCAGGGGTACGTGGGACGCCTAAATCGTTTCACTCCTGTGTGGCAAGTATGGTCGCAGGTTAAGCGTATCTCTGGTCAGTTTTCCGCGGTTCCTTTACCGGTTCTTGAGGTTGGTGGGCGGGACATTTTACACTCTGCTGACGTCGCCAACGAGATCAGTCGTGCGCTTGCGGAACGGTGTGGAGACAGAGAATACATCAGAACGCACCTTTCTGTGTGAGGATGTTCATACTTTTGCAGGAGTGTGGCATTCGCACACGGCATGTGATTCGTTGGAAAATTCCCGAGACCCCTCCTTGGAAGCTCTACCCAGCAGCGGTAGATGTCTCACTTTCCCGCTTCAAGAAGAGGCAGGTGTCCCCGGATGAGTTTCGGCTTAGGTCTTTGGAGTTGATCGCGTCGTACCCGGATCATAAGAAGACCTACACGGACAGTTCAAAAGCGGATGCTGGTGTTGGATATGCTTTTGTGCAGGGTCCTGTCACGCGGTCTTTTGTTGTGCCTGGTCACGCATCGGTTTTCACATCCGAGCTAATAGCCATTATTAAAGCACTCCGTTTCATAGAAGTTGACAGTGACGACCAACACTTAGTTTTGTCGGGCTCTCTTGGTAGCCTTATGGCATTGCAAATTTTGGGTGCATTGCATTCCATCGTTCAGAACATTTTAGCTATTCTTACTACACTGTCCCGATCCGGGAAGCAGGTGGAATTCTGCTGGATACCAAGCACGTTGGCATATCAGGTAATGAAGTAGCTGATGCCGCAGCAAAGCGTGCCACACACGCATCTGGCGTCCCTACCATGACAGTCCCTGCTAACGACCTATATGCAATTATGTCTGCATTCATGTTGAAGCAGTGGCAACCGCATTGGGATTTGCATGCTGCCAAAAAACTGGGAGAGATAAAGCCCCGGTTGGGACTATGGGCGCCCAGCTGACGAAGGTGAGGCGGGAGGAAGTGACGCTATGCTGCCTGAGAATAGGACAAACATACGCAACTCACCGATGCCTGTTATGCGGGGAAGACCAACCGCGGTGTCCTCGCTGCGGGGATCGTTACACCGTATGACATGTCTTGATAGATTGTGCCCGCTTTGCCTTGGAACGCATGCGCCACTTTGGATCAGGGTCCGTGCGTCAAACGCTCTATGGTGTGCTGGGAGACGACTCGAGCTCAGCAAATGGCGTTTTTTTTTTAGTTATCTTGAAGACATACAATTGCATGTCATATATCGAACGTAACCTTATCTCCCCGCTTTTTCAGGCAACTGTTAGATAAAAAGTAGGTTATGGGCGCCATATGACCAACGTAGTCGGTGCGCCCCAAACCACAAATCATCATCATCACGCAACGCCTGAGAGCCCAAAAGTGGTGATTTCCAAATATCTGGCATCCAATTTTAAATTATTTTACTTGTGCTTGGAAACTGCAGCCTTTGGGCATACGATACCATTGTGGGGGCTGTACTTGCCGGCAGTGTAAATCTGGCATCGGCCAGCATGACCTTTTTTATTCTAATCACCCAGTGCGCCCGTCCTGTACTGAGAGGGATGTCCATAATGTGGCGGCCCGGAAAAGAATGGTAAGTTGAACCCAAAGATTGCCAGCTTGTGCTTTCGATACCGCTGGTATAAAGCTATCAGCAGTCAGTGCAACACGCTTTTCGAGTTTTTCCATTTTATTCGGTCAGCCCCTCGGCAGCGTATCACGCAACGCTTTGGAGACAAATGAGCGGTGATTTGCAAAGATGCAGAGTCCAATTCAAACACTTTTACTTACGCATGGAGGGTGCAGCCTTTTACACACGTTACAGCGTGGGAGCAGTATCTGTTGGCACTGTTAATGTATCATTAAATGCTTGCGAGCCGGCTGGTTTGTGATTTGCACTGAGGAACGGCACTCTTTTGCATTTGCACATCATTTGTTTGAAATCAATTTCCCTGTGCGCGTAGGGTGTATCCTTGCGCACGCGCCTGTGGAAGCACGATCGGCCAGTAATGTAAATCTCACACCGGCCGAAATGGCCTTTTCACATCCTCGACAGCGAGCTAACTGCGACTGGCCTGCAAGTAGATTGATGGACGTAACATGGCGTCCAAAGAAAAAGTAAAACAATTAAACGCGAATATTGCGGCTGCGTGTGTTCGTTGGCGCTGATATAAGGCGGGTAGCTGACAGCACAGCACGCTCATCGAACTGAGGTTTTGATTTTACTCGACCAACCTTTCCTTTCCACTGACAGCGTACCACGCAATGCTTTTGAGCCGACTGGGTGGTGAATTTCGCGGATATTGTGCACAAGTTAAAATACTTTTACTCGTGCGCAGAAGGCGCCACCTTGCGCACACGATGGTATTGTGGGATTGCCATCTTCCGGCAATGTAAATCTGGCATCGACCGACATGACATTTTTGTTTGAGTCAACTCTTAACAGCGCAAATGTAAAGGCAGCCTGGGAACGAGTTTAGTGATGCACATTTTATGACGGTTCGGAAAAAATGCTCAGAATGAAACCAAAGACTGTGACTATGTACATTCCATAGCGTTGGTAATGGGCTACTAGGTGCCCATACAACACACCTGGCACCTTCGATCCCCTGACAGCGTAGCACTCGACCTGCTCCAGCTTTGTTATAAAAGGGAACATCCTTACTATATGGCGAATATTGGGACTGTGTGCATTATTTGGCTATGTGTGTGTTAGTTAGCTATGCGGCTAGCAGCTGCCAGTATGGCACGCTCGTCGGATTGAGGCTTTGATACATTCGGTCGATCCCCCCCCCCCCCCGACAGCGTGTCAAGCCATATTTTAGCGCTCGACAGCGCTGTGATTCGCGGCACCCAATGGTATTGTGGGAGCACTACCGGCCGGCAGTGTAAATCTTGCATAAACCGACATGATTTTTTTAACCAAATCACACGGCACATTGAACAGCCATTTCTGGCTGGGGTTTCAGTAAAGCGATGTCTTTAACACCGTGGCCTGGGCAAACATTTATAATAAAACCTAATTAGTGCATGTATGTGCATTCGACTACCGTAGAAGTCGCCTAGAAGCGACCGGAAAAACACACTGGTCGGACTTTGGCAAACTTTGGCTCCGACTTTTTTCGTCAATCCCCTGACAGCATATCACTGAGTCCCTGAGGGCTCGACGGAGCACGGGAACGGCGTTCAAGTTTGAGTACCTATACTTGCGCGCAGAAAACGCAGCCTTGCGCAAACGATGTGACCGTGGGAGCAGTCGGCCGATAAGACAAATCTCACATCAGCCGGCATCTTTCCTTCAAATGACCACTTTACAGTGAGGAGCTATCTTCAGCTAGCGTGCATGGCAAGATTGTCACATTACGGCGGCGCTGAAGGAAAAAGTTTTAATTAAACCGGAAGTTCGCGACTGTACGGATTCTTCAACACCGGTATAGAGCAATCAGCTGCCAGTAGAACACACCCGTCGAGTCATGGCTCTCTTTGCGTTCAACCGACCCTACCTCGCGCACTAGTTTAAGCGACGATTCGCGAAGGTATGACGTCCAGTTTTGACAATTTGCAATGTGCGCCGAAGGTGGAGCCTCACGCGCATGGTACCGTCGCGGGGGCGCTTTCCCCGGCAATGTAAATCTCGCATTGGCTGACATAATCTTTTCGGTCCAAATCAGCTCTTTACAGCGAAAAGCTTACGACTGCCGACGTGCGCGCAGTGATGGAGATAGTGATAGAATACGTCGGCCTGAGAAAAATACTTACATGACCAAACCCGAAGATTGTGACTGCGTCAACTCCACAGCACCGTTAGAAGGCTGTCAGCTACCAGCACAACACAAACGTCGGACTTCGATTTCCACTTTATTTGGCCGATCTCGCATAGCGTACCACTCAGTGCTTATGGGCTTGGCGGATGGGTCATTTGCACAGATACGGCGGCCAGTCTTAGACAATGAGTTGTGCGCGGAACGTGCAACCTCGTCCCAGAGCGCCACACACCCGCCTCCCTACCAATTTGGGACAGCAGCGCCATCTTAAACAAGACTTGACATAACCACATCAGAAGACATGCTGCAGAAATGCCGATAATATAGCAGGAAACAGTCGCGTTCCTTGGGATGGGTCTGCTAAGAGCAGCATGAGTACTGCTCACAAACACCTATACGGAACATGCGAATGAAAAAATGCGTCTGCGGGAACGAGAGCTGTATTCCTGATGTCGTTATTCTCCCTAACTAGGTCGAGACAGAGCTGACTAGTACGGCAATCGACTAAAAAACGGCAGTACCTCGTATCACGGACAAGAATGCGCTACACATCCGACGACTAAGTCGCGAAAAATGAGCTGCCAAGCGTACTGCGCCGCACAATCTCAGCGCTGGTGACTGAGATTCAGCGCCCAGTCTGTACCGCGTCGCACAGCCCCAGCGCTGGTCACTAAGATCCAGCACCCCGCCTGTACCGCGTCGCACAGCCCTAGCGCTGGTGACCAAGAATCAGCGCCTCGCCTGACGAAAGGAAGTTCTCACAGACACGATGGGTCTACCATGATAAAACAGCATCATTGCACCAGCGAGATGCGGTGGATTCGTCCTCGCACGATGGTCGTCCATCCCCGACCGCGATCACAGGCACCGCTGTGACAGGTCAGCCTCGTCACGGCAGAGGTAAACCCCCACTAGCTCGATAAAGTATGAGATGGGAACTTTCTGTAGGAACGGATTGTTAAGCACGAGCCGAAGCACACGCGGTCACTGGGCTCATTTCGAGACACGAGTCGCTTCAGCCCGCGAGAGAGTTGCAAAACAAAGACTGAGTAACACAATCACAATTCACGAAAGCGTCACACGGCCGGACAACTTCGCGAAGCTTGCTACCATCTCATCCACACGGACCCAGCGCTGCCGGCTGGCCGCCACCGGTTCACATGCCACGCTTGGCGTCCGACGTCGGTGGCAACTGCCTCATGCGGGAGGTCGATGAGTCGTTTCATGACCGCCGAGGTGTTCGTGCGCATCTCGAGCGTCACCCGGCGGCCGGCGTTGGGCGCAGCTGTCTCAGCTTCAGTGCTGCTTCAGCCGTCCATTCCCGTCGCCGCCTCCCGACGGCGCGTGGACACCGTTCTGGTGGCCCCAGCCCACCACGCCGTTCTTGTGCGGGCTGATCTTCGAGCCGCTCTTCCGTGTCTGTAAATGCGACAGACGAAAGCAAAGCTTAAGTGTATTGGTTCACCAAACATTCGAGACCAGTGATGAAAGCTATAACAGCCGTAGCTTCGAAAACTTACCACCGGTCTAGCTTCAAAACACCGACACACAACAGCAGATCATCTGTCGCTGGGCTTCGGCAACATCATAAAAGTGAGGATAATTACGCGGTGACGGGTGAACCTGTCGCCACAACACTTATTTATTTCAAATGTCTAGAGGGAATGTTCCACGTTTGATGGCACTGAAGCAAGCATCAGATACGAAGTAAAAATCTCACTTATAGGCAATGGTGTATCCAAGCCTCCGCACTAATGCGTTCTGGGTAAAGATGCTGCGACATCATCATGGGACTAAGTCCTATGGCACCAACGCTACGGTGGCGTGAAAACGCTGTTCTTTGCGAGCTGGTTTGAACAAAGATATTTCGATAAACCGATTGTTTTACCTAGCACATTCAAGGAAGCATTTCAAACTGGGAAATGGTGTTGGTTTGCACCCGAGCTACAAAATTATTGCTGAAATGCGTATCCAGCCTGCCCCTGACAGAAAGATGGAATAACACACTCATCAAGGATTTATCCCGAAGAGTTCTAGCAGAAAGTGCTTAGAAACAGTCTGTGTAAAAGAGTACAACATGCAACAACATAGGGGGGGGGGGGTTGAGATACCTCGGACCGGACAGGCTCGCAGCACCCTGGGACGCTCATTGAGAAGTTGGAACGCACACCCTGTAGCCTTAGGGGAAGCTTTAGCAGGATGGAGGCTTAAATACGGCGCGTGCCATTCAAGTTAAAGAAGCAGATGTTCCTGTAAAATGGGTCGATTTCTGGCAAGTCTTGCATTTCTCCGAGTCAAAAATCGTGGCCCATATCTCAGTTTCGAAATAGTCTAATAGGTATATATAAGGGTGGTGGGGGTATATGCCCACCATTTTTATCTAGCCCATTCAGCGTCATACCTCAGCAAGTTAACCAAAACCTAGGAAGACCACAGAATAGCAACAGCGAAATTATTGGCACCTGCCCTCCACACATTACCTTATAGTCACATTTCACTCTATACAAGTACTGCAGTACGAAGATTCATGGGTAACCATTGCCATCAATGAATGTAATGTAAACATTACATATGATATTTCTTTATTCACATCTGAATATTCCTTTTACAAAAACGCATCACATATAAATATTCAGACGCGTTGACCACAACGAATATGGCGCGGGTGCTGAAATCAGAAAACTTGGTTTAGTAGGATTTATTCCTCGAATCAGATACCGGTATTGAGTTGTCTTTAGAAGGTTTGAAGTAAGTAGCTATTATATAGCTATATATATATATATATATATATATATATATATATATATATATATATGTATCAATATATATATATATATATATATATATATATATATATATATATATATATATATATATATATATATATATATGTGTATATATATATACATATATATCATTTCGTTCTTGACGTTGATTGTCGCATGGCTAATGAAATGACAGGGTCTGAATGGCATTAATATGGCGTCAAGGATGCCTAGATGACCTTGAAATGGTCTCCACGAAATTATCTGCACACGTTTGCGGCTTGGTAGCTAACAAACTGAAGGGGGTTAAGTTTTAACTTCAAGATGACTATTTCAGTTCAAAGCCCCATAAAATGTGGAACAATTCCCTTAAAGGTTGTGATACCCTTCCCTGTATCATCACATTATTTTCATGAGAGGAGTCTTCTCGTCGCGCCGCAATGATTGCAAGCCCTGGCGTAACTCAATGGAAGGTGACTCACCAGTGTTTTGACGGCAACATTATAAATGAATGCAAAGAGCAAGCGTGGCCATATTTCAGCAGTTCATGATTCATGGGGTTTGAAAACTGTCTTGCGAATCAAAAGGCTGGCTTCAAATACACAGCAAATCCAATGCTGGATCCTGGTTTGCAAGACTTGCGAATCAAAAGATTGATATCAACCACACAAAAACATCAGCACTACATCCTGACTTGCCAGACATCCCTGACACGGACTGCTACCGGCTACACCACCTCGAATGTCGGTTTGTATTACATAACTGTGCAGAAGGAAGGCGCTACTAAGTCGATTTGGAATCTTTTATTACGGCGTTTTACCCCACTACGTTACCGAAGGAAATCTAAAGGCGTGTTTTCCGAGTATCCAGAAATGCGGGTGAAATTGTGTGAAAAAGTGATAAGATTTGGTCAAGCGTAGTTCAAAATTAGGCCAATTGAAAGATGTTTGATGAAATGACGAAAAATAATAAAAAATGATTGACAAAATTTGATAAACTTGAAGGAAGTTTGGTCCCTGTGCACATGATCGTACAATCGTTTTGCCAGTACTTGCCTGTCCTGAGCAGTAAGCATGGATGTAGAAGTTGAGGAAGAGTACGATGAACGAGATCATGTAGATCACCAGCGTGTACTGCATCCACAGCGGGAACGGACAGTCGAGTCGCAGCGCGTTCAGCCCCAGCACCAACGCCGTGAAGAACTGCGCCTGCACAGCCACAATGCCGCCGTCATAGGCAGTCCGGGGCACATCCACCCACCAAGCATAATCTGAACCACCACTGAGGCATAGGCGACTCCCGTCCATCACAAAACCAAGTCCAACAAAACGCGCAATTATCACGCTGATGCCGGGCGATATTCGTGCCCCAGTAGGTACGCGTCTGCACACAATCTGAAATGCCCGCGCGAAGTACACCGAAACTTCCGACAGAAAGGACTTGCGGACTTGCGGCAATTTCGATTAGATCAGTAATACGGCGACTTCGGGTCACATGGTCCAAAAAGATGCCAAGCGAACAGAAACAGTATGACAGCCATCCACAGGCGGGGAGTGACTGGTGTACCTGCCAGGAACCCGGCACTGGTGACCGCGCTCCAGGTAGGAAAGGTAACGAACCAGCTGCAGCATCGTCAGGTACTTCTTCCACCAGAGGTAGGGCTGGAGCCGAGGCCCGATCGCCGACAGGCCGTAGTACAGGTACATCAGCACGTGCACGAAGCTGTTCAGCATGGCACCGACGAACGCTGCCAGCGGACACACTGTCACAAGTGGGCACTGTCGGACCGACGGCGGCAGGATCCGACTACCCCGGATTTCTGGTGATGAGTCATTTAGCAAAGCGACAATGGGGGTTAAAGCTGCAATGGGCCACCATGAGGCAAACCTGTCAGGTGTATAATTAGCCTTTTCATGTGGATCACGTGGGAAGTCAAGCGAACCAATCACCGAACGATCCCACGAGAAAACTCGGACAGCATTGGAGAAGTTCTCCGATTCGGGAACTTAAACTGATGGACTCGCGTGAATGTACGGCCTTGTAAACGGGGCCGGAAAACTCAGGTGGCCGAGAGGTCACAAACGGGGCCAGGCAGTCCGAAGATGGCGTCCGAAAATGTTGACGTTAGGGTCCCACTCCCAAACATCAGCCCTTGGGAGTATTGAGCTAATCTGATTGTGCATGGAAAGAAACTACCCATAACACCTCCCAGCTCCCTCCCCACCAAGTCGGACAAGCTCTCCCCACCAACCGGAGATGGGAGAGCGGTCATCTGAATGGGACTGTGAAATGTCACATGACTGTCAAATGGACTGTCTGGACTGACCGGACTGTCAAATGAAATATGTGAAAAATCAGCTCCCCGCACGGTATTCACGCACCGGAACCGCCTGCCACCCATCGCATGCCGATCCACCAGAGCAGGAACATGGTCGAGTGGTGATACACGTGCAGGAACGTAATCTGGCTGTTCTTCTTGCGCAGCACAAAGAAAACCGTGTCCATGAATTCCAAAAGCTTCGATATGTAGTAAAACCAAAGGGCGCTCGTGATCTGAAACACAGCACGATCATTAGTCCCGCAGGGGCAACGACGGATGACATAATATATTGGTGCCCTTTAATGGTTATAACCCAGATCATCACTGGAATGATTTAATTGGTGGCCGAAAGGAAGAATGTCGATAGTAGATGAACTGAAACACCAAAACTGCAAAAATGCATGCCAACTTCAACAGAGCCTTTAAAAAAATGCGCACAGATACCGTCAGTGTGGATGATAACCAGTTTCTTACTACATGAAGTAGCAGAAATGTCTGGGTGCAGAGGTTAATGCGTTCCGAAATGAAGAAGCGTTTACATCTCCCCCCCACCCCCTTATTCTCCAGCATGACTCACCCTCATGGCCTCTGGCGAGGTAGAGTAGTCAACAGGTTCGCAGAGCCAGCTGTATCCCTGTTTCCAGGCCACCGTCGCCAGCTGTGGTCCGGCGCAATATTAATCGCTGGCAATGCAGCAAAACGCCAAAGCCTCGAAGCGTTATTTAACGCTCCAATGTCGGACACTAGATGTCACGTAGCATTCGCTGGATGAAAACACAAAGTGACTGTAGGTTCATGTGCTGCATGAACTAAACAAAACCGTGGGAATTTACGTTAATAATGCTCGCTGATTGACTTCACAAAAATAAAATAAACAACAGCGAAACTTGCAGTTAAGAACATTTTTGTTTCGCGACCTCACGCTGAAGCTAAATAGCTAAATGAATTCAAAAGTTTCCCACTGCTGTCATAATTCTTCAGAAAATTTTGAAGCAAACCCCTTTCAACTTACGGTCTTAGCATGCTCGCTTAAACAAAAGGAAACATTTTGAAAACTCACTAGAAAGGATAAGACCAGTGAGAAAGTTCTCTAAATCGCCTTCTGATAAAACAAGCTGAGCATTTTTGTTTCAAAAAATGATTTCAAGCGTTATAAATACAAACAATGTAAATACTACTGTTTGCACATCCTGTCTTCTGCCATAACACTGTCAACCAAAACAATGTCATTATGAAAGGACCACTGGGTGGTGTCCATCTCCTGCTGGGCTAGTGCTACCATCAAACTGCTTTATTTATAATATTATACCATCAAACAATATAATTCTGACAAATTCTTTCTGCCTGGAAATACAATAAAACATTTGACAATAATTCATGTGCTGCAGGAGAGGACAGTGTTCTGCCACCATGGTGTGGATAGATAGGTAAGGTTATATGATGTGCATTGAAAGGTTATTTGTACCAAGGAGCACATCTCTGATCTGAGATCATGGCACAACACTCTACCAAACTGAGCTGACTGCTGACATATATGTGCTAACTGCAGACATCTATGGTTATCACTGGAGGGACACCAAGCTTGGTGTAACAACTGCTGACAGTCAACACTGAAGCCACCGGCACCATCTGTGACGAGCACCAACCTCCAAGCCGATGTACAGGTTGAGCAGTGACACCGCCAGGTTATAGAGGACAAGTGGTGCACGTAGCTGGAGCGCTGACTGGTGCTGCATCAGCAGTGGACCCAGCCGCACCAGCAGCAGGTAAGCAGCAGTCAGCAGCAGCGTGGGCAGAGGCGAGTCCAGCAGTGGCCAACCATCCACGCGCACATCTGGACACAAGCACGCCAACACCAGGTGAGTCACTAATTACACCATCCGCTGCTTGTTCACACACACATCATCAAAGAAAGCATGATAGCAGGTATTCTGATTCAAAATTATGAAAATGGTTACAAGAATACTGACCAGACAGAGGCACAAATTACCAAAACTAAATGAATGGTTAACAACTCAACCTTAATATGGGCACAATGGACAGACAACATGAAGTGAAAGGTTGATGATGATCTGGGTTTCAGGGTGTGTTGACTACCCTGGTGATATAGCACCCATGAAGTCAAGGTTGAAGAACAGGTTAGGTGGGGGTGGGGGTGGAGTGGGGAGTAAGGGGATGTTTATTCAGATCAGAGTTTACTGTGGACCTGTGCATAAAAATTTAAGATCCAACCTATACCACCCTTAAAATTGCATTCAGTAAGTAACTTGATGCACCACAGTATCTGTAGTGATTGAACTGACCTCTTTGCTCTATTGTCCATGCATACCAGGAATACAGTCTTGCCAGCTGCTTCTCAGCATTATATGGAAGGAAAGAAGCCAGTTGAAGAGATGGTTCAGTGGCACTTGCAACCTGGTCATTGGAGTTCATCATACCTGCAAAAAAGATGATGCAATTATGATGGAATTCAGTGTGTATACCATCCAGTCCAATGATGCAGGAACAACAGATGATTTGGTAAAGACTTATTGCAGATTCTTGCAACTAACTTTCCTAGCAGGATATACAGTTCCTCTGGAAGGATACCAGCTTTTGAAGACACCTGTTTGTCTGTCTGTCTTCTTGTCTGCATCAGTTTTCTGAAATTGGTATACCCAAAATCATGCACAGGCAGAGGTTGCAGAATGCAGCACAATTTGTTTGGTATGCACAGATGTGGGAACAAGGCCAGCAGGTAATGCCAAAAGACCTGCATTATAATGGCACATATGACATCATTATCTCTTGTGAAGCATGTCTTGCACAATATTTTTGGCAAGTTAAATTTAATAACCTGGTTGAGCTTTAGTCTGAGCTTTAACATCTCAACTAATTTCTATACTTTTACTTCCCTAACTGTATTTCATTCCATGACTACTCACAACTTTTTTGAAACCCTGGACATTTGGGTAGTCTAACTTACTAATAGCAGTGTCAGAGAGGGCCACCAGGAAAATTTATACTCTCCCAGACTGTGAGACTAAATAAAAAATCACAGTTTCTTCAGATGGATTTTATTCCAAGGAGATCTTCCATTCCTGTCAAACTGCAGTGCTGCTCATCATCAAATTAACCAGACACAGATAAGTCACAGTCACACTTGATCATGTTCTACCTCATATCAGCCCACAAAGCTTCAAGTAATGACGCACTTTTATACAGCGGTTTATTTCTGTGAGTGGATGGTACCCTTGGTTTTCACAGCGAGGAACACCTACGCTATCTCGCACGTACTACCAGAATCTCAACAATGTAGCCATCACGTTTTTTACTGTAACTCCAACCGTAACAAAATATATTTTCTCTAAAGAAAGTGGTACCTGAAGCCCGCGCAACTGCTGGAAACAACCCCAGGAATACCCATGCGATGCAACGGCGCAACGCATCCATGGCAAGAATGTGATCCGGGGGGGTAGCCGGTCCTCCTGCGAAGGACACGCGCCGGGTGCCGGGAAACTAAAGAAACTAGTGCGTCATATATGTATACAATCAATAATGCCTCCCAACGTACCGACACAAGGGTGCATGTTCTGGATATGCACCTTGTGGATGCTAAGGTTGCACCATACACATTTGCATTTTAATCCGTTTAAAGGCATTTTCGTAGGGTTTAAATGTATATGAAATTAAATAAAACTTAATATTTTTGCTTTTTAAATATTTCAAAAGATTACTTATTTCTTTCGTTTCTCGCTTTCTTAAACTTCTCTCGGATGCATTACATGTGGAACAATTATAAGTGGAACCAGAGGCATAGCGACGCTGGTCGCGCATTGGGGCTTGGCTGGTGGTTTATGCCGAGGGGGTTGTGGGCATTAGGGTTCGGCGCATGAGCTGCGTGCAGACTGCCTGAAATATCTTGGTCTTTCAGAGACACCATTTAGTACTATGAGTAACAAGGATTTTTATCTTCGTTACTATGTCGGACATAAAGGCAAATTTGGTCACGAGTTTTTGGAATTCGAATTTCGGCCTGATGGTGAGTAGTTATCTATCCTAATTTGAAGAAGTCCAAACATCACTGTGTTATTCCTTCGTCCTGGTGATGGTACTTTTGACCATAGAAGGCTGCATGTTTATTTTAGGGATGGGGCACTCCCATTCTCAATGCCTTGATTATGCATTCACCACCAAGACCCTGGTGGACAAAAATGGTTGGTCATCAGCAGTGGGTGTGTGTATGTGTGTGTGCTCCTCCCAACTGATTCCCTGCCACAGTCCTGCACTTATTTACTCCACCTGCCAGCTGAGGCCATCAGTAATTCCTTTGCTCTGCATTGGCTGCTTGATAATGGCAAGTGGTTTATAGATGACTCACATTTTAATTTTTGCATCTGTTAATAACATTTATTATTCATTATATGAGATATATATTAAGCATATGTTGCATTATAATATTTTGAGGTGAATCAATTACTAACAACAATTAAGGGCAGGCAGTTTGGTTTCTTTGAATTGCACAGCAAGGCACACTGGCATCCCAAGTAGGGAAGGATTCAATGGGATGAAGGCATTGTTCATGTTGCAGTTTTGTCTCATTAGAAATATAAAATACAGGCTGAACTGGATCATCAGTGTGTCCATCATTTTGAATAATACATATTACGGATGAGAAGCTCAGGAAATGCCGTGGGAGTGCGCTCAAGAATTTAACCCCCTGGGAGCTCCATATGTTGAGACCATGGTTCACCAGGCTAATTTGTTCTATAAAGGGTCAACAGAAAATCAAAAGTTGACATGTTCTATGGTGCAGAAAAATGTTTGATCATCTGATGGATTCTAACCTGATGTATTGGATGGTCATCAGTTATGTGTTGCTTTTTCATGGTTTGAAATATGGACACCTCTTTGTTGCTTACTTATAAATTTTATAGTTATAATTTGCTTACCCTTTGCAAACCAAGTTCTTTCCATACTTTCTAAGGAGACACCTGCCCAGCTGACCTTTCTTCTTTGCCAGCTTTTTTCCAACCTTTGCCAGCTGGTTGGGCTGTAATATGCTGCAGACCATGTGGCTGCTATGTAGTGTTATTGGTAGCTAGAGTTCAAGTTAGAGGGATGGAAATTTCTGCCAGCCATGAATGATAAGCTTTACATATAAGTAAGTTGCAGGCAGGTGCATGGAGGTGTAAGTTATGCTAGTACTGTTCTGAGATATGTAACAAGCCATTTGTGAAAGCTATATTTGTGGCTCTGAATGGTTTGTTTATCAGGTACCCACAGAATCAGTCCCAAATGGCAGTAAACTTTGTGACTTTGGTTAGCAAGCAGTTTGGTAAGCTACTAAGTCATTGCTGCTAAGTTTTTGTGTGCAAATCATGAACATATAACTGCCCTTGTGGCACGGATTACCAGCATTTTTCCTTGTTCTAGGCAAGCTTCGCTATGCCAACAACTCCAACTACAAGAACGACACTATGATCCGTAAAGAGGCGTATGTTCACCGCTGTGTCATGGAGGAGCTGAAGCGCATCATTGCTGACTCAGAGATCATGCAGGCAAGTGTGGTGCTGTGCTGTTGGGTCTCTCTTTTATGGGCGGTTCACAGCTAAGGATGGAATTGCTATTGCTTGGGTAATAACTGTGTGATGATCACATGGAAAAGGGGTGCACAGGTGCATCCATCACACAGATATATGTTTCACATGGATGCACAGGATATAGCCCATGTCAGGTTAATGTAGCCTGAAGGCAGGTCATGCTGTGCTCAGAGGCCTGCAACAGCATTGCAGAGAAATTTCGCTCAGCAGCAGTCATTGGAGAAGATATGAAGTGCCCATCTGGTAGTTTTGCATACCGACCTGTTCTGAAGGGAGGTCCGCCGGCCGACAGGAGGATGATGCCCTGTGGCCCCAGCCAGACCGTGTCGGCCGCCAGGAGTTGGAGATCGTCATCGGAGATGAACACATCTCCTTCACCACGTCCAAAATCGGCTCTCTAGTTGATGTCAACAACTCAAAGTGAGTGATAGATGCAAAGGCGCAACAGTTCAGTCTCTTACTTTAATGAACATTACAAGTGTACTTCCGTGTTATGTATGTAATTGCTTTGCACCAGTTGCAGTCGCCTTTACGTCTGTTAGGGTCCTGTCTTTAGTCATGACGGTTTTCTGTCCGACGCAGCACATTGTGCCTCTGTGCGCTATCCCTTCATGCGTGTATATTGTGTCACTATATATGCTGAGGGCTTAGGTGGTGACTTTCGATAAACAGGCTTGGTGCTTGGATTTCAGAGACACCGACGGCTTGCGCTGCTTCTACTACCTGGTGCAGGACCTCAAGTGTCTGGTGTTCTCTCTCATTGGGCTCCACTTCAAGATTAAGCCTATCTAACGTCGCCAATCAACAACCCATTACAACCGGCCTGTCTTGTGTGCTTGTGTAGCCTAACCTTCAAAACGCCGAACTCGCTATCATAATACACACCTTGTTTGATAAAATGTCCGTGTTTGCCGCCTCTATAGGTTATAGCTCACTCGAAATCTGGATCACGGCGAAAAGTGCCACCTTTACATGGCTGTAACCACCTTTATACAGCATAGTTTTACAACTACTTCTCAAGCAGAGTGGAGCGATGCGTCAGACCCAAGTGCAGAAATCAACCGAAGCTAGCTATCCCCGTGGGATGTCAAATCATCCGCTGAGCGGAGGAGATCCCGAGATGGATTTCAGAGGGCTGACAGTTGTCCGTCCCGTTTTGAAATCATCGTGGGGAAAATGAAACGGCCAATGACAAACGCGATCGCGCGCTTCGCCAACTCACGTGATGAGGGCAGGGGTTGGAAAAGTGGATGTCTTTTGGTATCGATTCATGAATGCTTGGGACCATAATGGCGCCTGGAATACGTGCTCTGCTTGCAACACCCCAGGATCTGGCTTATCTCGGCTGGACACGGAAGGCATGCCCTGTTCCTCAAGGCGCCCTCAGTCGCGCGCCCTCCGTGCTGCTGATGTGCCCTCAACGCTGCTGATGATACCACCAGATAATATATGGCCTCATAGTACGTATGCTGTTAGCACCGTAGATTTCGGAGCGCCAAAGGCTTAAGGCCTTCCGTAATGACATCAGGCGCCCTGCAGGCCTGCAACTGTTGCCGACTGGCCGCGAGCCTCCGTCCACGGAGGGCGTCAGACAGACAGCGATACGGCCCACTGGCAGGCAGGATTCGGCCGCGGACCCCCAGCCCCTGATTGCACGGACTTCTGGCTCATCCATGGACGATGTCTGGCCGTTTAGGACTGGTCCAGAAAACGCAACCATACAAATGTGCTCGTTTATTTCATCGCCAGTGATAACACTGCTACATTTTCTACTCTATCTACGTTTCGGATGAGTGTTGAAAACAACGCGGCGAATCGGAACAATGTTATCAAGATCACGGCCCCGCGTAAAATAATTAGTATATATATTTACAAATAATTCAACAATTCCGACAAACATCAGGATACGTACGTAAAAAAGCGTTTGCAGCTACATTCCCGAAAAGGAAGCTGCAGGCAACAAGAGTTCTATTTAACCGGTAATGGCGGCAAAAGTGAAGTCTGAAGGAAATTACAGGCGTTTGGTTGTGGGTAATCCGGCAGAGGAGAGTGTCAGCAGACGGCGAACTGCGGTGCCCGGCGAGTTGCGGCCGCCCCTCCCCAGCTGCCCCGCTCCCGTGATGTGGTGGCGAACCCGTCCGACCGGACGCGTTCGGCCCCTCCCGACATCGTGCGGACGCCGGGGCAGGTGCCAGAGGGCAGTGTCGGCAGCGAGTCGCGGAACTCGCCAACAAACTGGCAACAAACGCATGCGGCCATACTGCCGCAGCGCCGGGTGCGTCCAGAACAATCCTCGATGCGGACCATGCGGAGACAGAGCTGTGGTACGGGACACCTGGCACTAGTCGCACCTCCATCAGCAAGCCGTAACGTTCGCCACACGTACCCCCGCTATATCACCAGCACCACAGCCGGGCGTCGTGCGCGCCCCGCCAGTAGCACCGCGCCGGACCACACGCTCTCCCCCACCCAGATGGCATGCGTTGTCACCTACCGCTCTGGGTCCCGGCATTCGACCGCTAACATGCACCGCGGCCATTCCATGGTAAATGACCATGACTCGTCTGGAGACTCGGCGGGGCTCGGGGATGAGCAGTCCGAGCTTCCGACGGAAGCGCTTACAAAAGACGCCCCTGAAGGGTGCGCAATGAAACAGCTAATGGCCACAGGTATGGGGACGGACCGGGCGGCCGAGCCCGACTGACGCCAGCGCGCCGCGCTCTGCGCTGGCCTCGAGTCGAACGTTGAGCGCCGGGCGCGGCGGCGCCGCTCGGCTGGCAGGCGGGCGCTCGGCTCACTCTGCCGGGTGCGGGTTCTTCCGCTCCCAGTCCTCGATCTCGTCGAAGACCAGACCTGCAACAGCGCCCGGTTCAGTCAAGGCCGGGCGTAGCACGGAAACGCCACCGGCCACCAGGGCACGGCAACACTCGGCGCCGTCCGCACACACCCATCCCGTGACCGATACATCGAACACTCTTGCCCAGTATCGTCACCACAGGCCGGAGCCACGCAACGACTCAGATCATGGACAACACCGGACAGGCAGAGCTCGTTCCGCGGCGCTGGTCCCGGTGTCGGCAAGCCGACGGTGCGGACCGCGAGACGCGACCGGGCGTCGGTCGGCGGCGACACTCACGCCGCCAGTGCTCGATCGGCAGCTGGACCATCTCGAAGCCCTCGTCGAACGACGGCGAGGTGGGCTCGTCTGTCGGGTCCGAGTACTGTGACAGGTAGGGGTGCGCCAGCGCCTGCTCGGCCGTCGGCCGCAGGTCGGCGTCCAGCTGCAGCATCTTCTCCAGCAGGTCGATCGCTGCGGCGTGGCCGGCCATGGCGTCAGCGGCCGGCACGACGCGACGGGCGGGACGGCGGCGTGGTGCAGGCCACGGCAGAAGGGAGGGGGAGGGGGCAACGTCTGACGACACGGTACGGCTGATGGACACGGTCTGGCAGTGGATGGACCATGGAGGACGGAAGGTGCACGACAGTGGAACAAAGGGGTAGAGAGACTTGCAGTATCTGACGGCTGGACGGAGTGAGGTGAGGAATGTTCATCGACGGGATAATAGGGAAGACTAATTGCAGTGCTTGACGACGGCTGGCGGGGAGATAGACAGAGCCCAGCGATAGGACGACACGGAGGGGTGGTAGTGAATAAGAGAGAATGAGTTGGATAGCATCTGATGACGGGAGAAAGACTGACGGTCCGTGGAGATCGAGGAAAGTAGACGGGCCGTGTCCGACTGCAGGGAGGGGGGGGGGGGCAGTGTCTGAGTGCGGGAAGGGGGCGAATGTCTGACGATGGGAGGAAAGGGTACACGAGGTCTGAAATGGGAACACGAGGCGGGTGGTGTCCGAGTACCCACACAAAGGGATGGAAGCTCTTGCACGAAGGTGAAAACAACACAGACAAGAGGTTTACGATGCCGGATGTGAATCTTCGGTGGGAAATAACGCTCAATGTGTACATACAACGTGGTGAAAGAAATTTGCGGTGTTCGAGTGGCGACGAGAGTAATAAGGCGCAATGTCTGGGTGAGGGATATCTGTGACAGCTGTTGAGAAGACAAAACAAAACAAAAAGCTCAAAGCAATTGTTCACGTTAATGTGGCACGTTCTGAAGATGGCGAAAACATCCCGAGTACAATTGCTGGAACGTGGTGACTGTCGAAGGCCGACTTACCCAGGGGATTCGCTCCGCGGAAGAACTGTTTGAAATCTTTGGCCTTCATCGGTGGCAGTGAGCGGATGTAGGCCCGAGCCTGCACAATGATACGGAGTCATCGTCACACCCCAACGACACGTGTGTGATTTCAGGCATCTCCACGTCTCAACTCCGACTTAATCCCTACCCTCGTCCAAGTTGTTGATTTTAGTGAAGATTAAAACATATACATGAGGCGACACATCGAAACCAGCATGTGTGGAAGGAAGTCGCGTACCTTGCCTTAGCCACCTAGCAAAAACACAGACGCTGAGCAAACATAAATATCAACGACAGACAAGTGCAAAAATGAGCCATAACCAAACCCAACAGCACCGTGCATTGGCAGGCAAAAACGAACCCTAACTCCGTTGGCTAAGTGACCTCGTCTTATTCTGACGTTTTGGGCCAGTGATTCATTGCATCCACGATAGTAAGGTTCATTTGACAAGTCAGGAAATATTTGATCACCAACGCCATGTACACATTGTGTGCTCCGCGACGCTCATCCCAGCCGTGGTGACATTTTGAGCCAGTGACGTTCCTTTCATCATCGATAACCCGCACCCGACAGGTCGTAAGGACAGGGGGCTTCATCCCAGCAATGAACGCTCTTGAAGATACATTAATCTTTTTTTTGAAATTTAACAATCTCACATGATTCCTACTCGCTATTCGTTAATGGTTCATCGCCAATTAACGCCAGACACCAGAGCCATCGGCTGGTCCACGCTCCAAAGCCAGTCTATAAACATGCAAAACAGCTCGTAACACACATAGCGCGCAGCTAACAAAGCTCAGTGCAGAGCACTCTTGCTCTCCAGCCACCGGCGGAGAGAACACTACCAGAACGAAAACTAGGCGAATATCGACACAGGCAAGGTCAGAGCGACTAGCCAGAGCCCTACAGGTCGTCTACCGAGCCTGATCGTGTCCTTGCCGGGCCCCTCTGGCACCGTCGGCAAACGTAAACACCCGAGCTAGGAAGCGTGCTCGGGGTGCGACACGCTGGCCAGCGAAGCTTGGCTGCACGGCTCCGACGCGTGAACCAAAAACACTGCGAGCCGACAAGTGTAACAGCTAATGGGCAGCAGCCTAAGGGCAGGTCAGGGACGCGGTGCCCATGCATATACGCTAAGTGCCATCCGAAACCAGTGGGAGTGCTATACTACCAGGCGTAGTTGACTGCTCTCAGGCGCCAGCCGCGCTGTGCTAAATAGAGCACACAGCCACCTGCCCCATTTACATTGCGCTGTTACGCCTACCTCCTCGCTCGTTATCTTTTGCAGTGTAGCCTCATCAGGAGTGCCGCAAAAGAAAAGAATTCTCGTAAGCTGGTCAATATCTGGTAGACTGTTAAGGCAGCTGACAGCAAAGTCAGAAGGGATACATCAGGTAACGGGCTACTGGCTGGCGCATAGCATGCCAGACCGTAATCAACTCGGCGCCAATCATGTGGCCGGCGCCAGGCGTGTGGCCAGCAACAGTCGACGACGGCCCGACCCGACCCGACCCGACCCGACGACGACCGTGAAGGCGGCGACAGTCACGTGATCAGCGAGTCATGCGGTCAGCGACAGCCGCGCGGTCGGCGCGACATGTCGCAAGCGACAGTCTTGTGGCCGGCGACAGTCTGGGGCCGGTGGAAGCCACTGGCCAGCGACAATCCGGCGTCAACCTTCGATGCGGGGGCGCTAGGGTTACACTAAGGACAGTCGATGTTGTTATGTCTCTCAGAAATGCCGCGTTCTCCGGGGAAAGATAGATGCACACGCTAGAACTACAGTCACTACCGCTCACATCCAGCCACGCCCGGTGAAGGTGCCTGTCAAGACCTGGCCTCGCCCGGACCCCCAGAACGCCTGCGAGCGAGTATGCTTTACCGGCGGATCGGTCGCGGCTCGGCGTCAGCGCGCGGCAACCCCACACGCGCGACTCTGCAGCACGCTACTTACTGACTCGCTGGATATTTTCTTCAGGAAATCGTCGCTGGGGGAACCCTGCAGCTTGATGATTATATTTAGCTGGTCAATATCTGTGCAAAGATAAGGATATCCTTCGAACAAAAACGCAAAAACATGCGATCAAAACGGCCAGGAAAAAGCTAAAACAGAAAACATGGCAAAAGAATCTTCTCAGCGCACCGACAGCTGAGATACCGAGGCCATCTACCCGGCCGGGCTCGGGTGACGGGGCCAACCCTGTAGTGTTTCTCGCTGCCCATACTAGATGCTTGACAGGTCATTCCATATGAGTGATTTCCTAATTTCGGTGATAGTTAAGCTCGGTGTCGTTAATGTAAAGGGTGCGCAAATCGTTCTTCGCGTTGTTGACAATTTGGAAAATTAGTTCCGCAAAAAGAAAGCACGTACTTGGTGCTATCAGTTCACCAGATCTGCGGGGGCACAGCCTCCTACAATTAACCATCAACCGCACAGCAGCATTGCCGTGTAATGATTCCTTGAGAGCGCGGGTATCAATTGTACTTGTTCCGCGGGTCTATCGACTTCCACCATCGGAGCTCCGTTGCCATGCGCATCTCTGAAGTCTATTTAGGTCATTCGGGCTTGCAAACATGCACATTAGCTATACGTTCGTGGTCCGCCACCTAATTACATCATGCTGCCAAGCGAAGTGAAAATCGTAACGAAGCTCGGTTGCAACCTCCACCGCATATCACGCCATACCTTCAGCTACGGCTTTTCAATCACG